GTGTGGTCAGCTGATCAGCTCACGGCTAAACCGAGGATTGTTTCTCGCTTTCAGGAGGACGTGATCAACACTCAGTGTGGCTACGACATACGAGCCAAACCAGTAAGTAACTGGTAAACCAGTGAGGGGGGGCAGAGTTGGGTCATCGTAATGATTTATTGGTCAGCCTCACAACAACATATAGAAGGTATCATACTAAGATTTAAAATATGTCATATATGACCTCTGACCTCTTGTTCGAGGTCAGAAGATTGAATCATAATAAAACTAAATGTGTTACATTGTTACAGGTCATTTCTGTTCCTGTCATGATCAGAACCCCGGGACATGAATATTTGAAATGACACGTGTTCATATGTACGCAGGACTCCGAGCAGAAGGACTACATCAACGTTAAAGGCTGCGTGCCCCAGTTTGAGAAGTGGCTGCAGGACAACCTCACGCTGGTGGCGGGGATCTTCATCGGCGTAGCGCTGCTGCAGGTCGGTGCCGCGCACCTTCGGGTGTCGAGCGAACGCGTCGTGCTCTCGGGTCCTTCGGGGTTCCAACTCTTCTTGTTTCTCATCCGCAGATTTTTGGCATTTGTTTGGCTCAAAACTTGGTGAGCGACATCGAGGCGGTGCGGGCGAGCTGGTGAGAAAACGCTGCACACACACGTTTCACTGATCGGCAGCTCGAGCCACACTGACACGGCTTTGGTATTAACTCATAGCAATACTAGCAGTCAGAGCGCCCTCTGCTGGATCCACTGTGCAACATCTTCTGTACCAGTAAATGAAACGATTTGCAGACAGCTGCTGTGGCCAGTACGTGTCCACACATCCGTCAGTACTGGGAGACAGTTTTCCCAGTTTTGGGACAAACTGTGTAAAATGTGAATAATAACAGAGCAACAATCTGACAGCAGAGCAGCTTTATAAAGAACAAAGGTTCGTTTCATTTAATCGCAGCAAAGAAAACCCGTCCTCCATCCTTTAACTACAGTCTGAGACGCCACAGCGAGCAGCTGCCACTCCCACTGTGGTAGGACGAGGACCGCAGCTGCTCGCTGTGGCGTCATGTGCTGATGTGCCAGATGTTTAGTGTCCAAACCTCCACAGTCTGAAGTTTTCCCACCTTGCTGCTTTGTCCTGGAGACGCAGCGAGCTGTCCACGAGACTCCCTGCTGTGTGATGTAATGTTTCCTGATGGCGAGGACGACCGCACGTCTCCATCTTTACTGCTGCCAGACATCTGTCTCAGCTTGTTATACCCAATCACTGTTATTGACATTTTACACGTTGTCCCGACTGTTGGAACTGGGATTGTACTGGTTACCATGACTGGTTTGTTAAACGCACTGATGGAGAGCGTCTCTTTTTGTTGTGTAAATACTCTCAGGTCTTAATATTTAACAATAACCAACCATAATGACATTTGTCTGTAAACATCGTGTGACCGTACAGATGTTTGATGGTTCAGCCTCAGTAGAAATGCAAACGTACCTCTGGGAGGTGTTAAACACTCGCACAGAGCTAGGCGACCTCATGGAGGGTTCACGCTGCACTTTGATTGGTGTTTGAAAGAGTGGAGGTCAGAGGTCAGACTCACTGAGCAGGGTACTGAAGTGGACTGCTGTTCTCAGGAGTTTGTG